ATCAAAAAAACACAAAACAACAAATGTTGGCGAGGATGTGGAGAGACAGGAACACTTCTACACTGCTGGTGAGACTGCAAATTAGTGCAACCTCTGTGGAAAAGAATTTGGAGATACCCCAGACAGCTAAAAATAGAAATACCATTCGAGCCTGAGACTATTGCGTTGGGTTGGCTGGTTGCACCCTGAGGAGGAGTCTCACTTCCTCCTTCAGGTTCCTGGGGGACACAGAAACCAAGATGACAGGAGACCTATAAGCCCTTATAACACTGTTGTCAGGAAAAGTCCATTGGCAACAGCTTCTATCAGAGCCACTAGAGTTGAGTTTAACAACTGAGGACACTCACTCCTCCCTCTCTCTCTTAGGCAGTGACACTGCATTGTCCACCCTCCTCTGCTCACTCCTGCCTACTGCCACCAGCAAGAGACATCATGCCTAAGGATCAGGAGAGTTCGCAATGCAGACAGAATCAGCACATTCAGACCCAGAGTGAGCCCCAGGGCCTAGAAAATGCCCAGGTGTCCAAGGCTGTGGAGGAGACCTCTGCCTCCTCCCCCAATCCTCTAATGCCAGGCAACGTGAAGGAGGCTCCTGCTGCTAAGATGCTGAGCACTCCTGAGGGTCCTCAGGGTTTGTGCTCCTCTGCCATTGCTGTGGCAGCCACCTCATCCAGCCACCCTGATGAGGGCTCTAGCAGCAAAGAAGAGGAAAAAAGTGCAAGTGCCTCTCAATCTACAGCAGCCCCTGAGAATCTGCCCATCGATGCTCTTCACGAGAAAGTGGGTCGATTGGTGGGTTTCATGCTGCTCAAATATAAAATGAAAGAGCCAATAACAAAGGCAGAGATGTTGAAGATTATCATCAAAGACGACGAAGATCACTTCCCTGAGATCCTGCTGGGAGCCTCTGAGCGTATGGAGATAATCTTCGGCCTTGATGTGAAGGAAGTAGACCCCCCCAGCCACCGCTATGGCCTCTTCATCAAGCTGGGCCTCACCTATGATGGGATGCTGAGTCCTGAAGACCGTGTGCCCAAGACCGGCCTCCTGATCCTGATCCTGGGTGCGATCTTCATGAAGGGCAACCGTGCCACTGAAGAGGAAGTCTGGGAAGTGCTGAATGTAACGGGGTTATATTCCGGAAGAAAGCACTTCATCTTTGGAGATCCCAGGGAGTTCATCACCAAAGATTTGGTGAAGGAAAAGTACCTGGAGTACCGCCAGGTGCCCAACAGTGATCCTGCACAGTATGAATTCCTGTGGGGCCCAAGAGCACACGCTGAAACCACAAAGATGAAAGTCCTGGAGTTTGTGGCCAAAGTTCACGGGACTGACCCAAGTTCTTTCCCTTCTCAGTATGAGGAGGCTCTGCGAGATGAAGAAGAGAGAGCTCAAGCGAGAATTTCGGTTAGGGCTGGTTCTATTTCCACAGCCACTGCGAGTTCCAGTGCCATGTCTGGTAGCTCCTCCCACACCTAGTGAAGTCAGGGATAGATGCTTCATCCCTTTGAAGAGGGCAGTTAGTGTTCAAGGAATGTAGGCCCAGGGTGGAGCTGGAGGGAATCATCTATGTGTTCCTATTTTGTATGTGTAACTTGACAATTTATTCTTTTATTTTGTGATGCGTGTGTTATACAAATGTTTTTTCTTTTCATAGTGCTTTAATTATCTTCAAAATCTTCATGTTTCAAATGTTTTTGATCACACATTTAATGCTGTTTATGAGGTTCACTATTAAGAGCTCCTCTTCTTTAAAATATATTGTAAGACCATCTCTCTGTATTGTTTTCTGGACCAAGATAACATGTCATTGCTAAGAACTGTCATTTAAAATAGTTGGTATCAAAAATAGAAAATAAAACTTGATTAGTGTTTTTTCCCTTATATATTTTAGTTTGTT